AACCCGGAAAGAAGCAAACAACATAGTAAACAACCATCACATAATCATGGCATGATGCACAACCAAGTATGACGCATGTCCGGTTTAATGATACATGGATGGCATAGCAAAGTGCACAAGCAAACCTACAAATTAAGTGGAACTCAATATGCAACGAGTTGCGTATTGACGAAACACCAGATGACTTATTTAGTTCTCTCCCGTTTATGTACTCAACAATATTAAATGTTGATTACCATGGCGAGAGGTGGAGTAAATGAAAACTACCTATCTAGGCAAGTTTAAATGAGGCCGGAACAACAAACAACAAGTCCGAAAAAACCTCATGTGCAATATTTTAGGTTTAGTACTGTCCTGCCCTAAAGCATATTTTAGAGTTGTTAAGCATGCAAAGCAAGTACACCATATTAATCTATGCATTTTTCTACCCCATTTACATATAAAGTTTGTTAAAATCGGAGCTATGGTTATTTAGTTATGAATTAAAGCATTTTAACATGGCATTTGAGCAAATACATGCAAATAGCAGTTTAAACATTTTAAACATGGATGAAAGTGGCATATTATGAAACTAGACAAAAAACTAAGCATTTTACATATAAAGTTTGTTTTAATCCGATGCACGGTTTGTGAGATATTATATGCATGAAGTCTAGGGGGTTTTCTGCAAAAACTGCTGTCTCTGGGAAAAATAGCAAATTCATAGACGCTAGAAAAAAACATACGCGGACCGAATTTGGTTGGCCCAACAGGTGAAAAAACAAGAGGAGGGGGCGCTTGGGGGCAGCTCACCCTGGGCTGAGGCCCAGGTCGGTGTTGGCGACGCGGGCAGGCCGCGGAGGAGGCTGGGCCCTCCTGGCGCTGGCTGGGCCTGGCGCGGCTATGACCCAGCCAATGCTTGCGGTCAATGGAGCACCGGATCGAGCAAGGGAGCTGGGTTGTGCGTGCAGGAGGCGTGCGGCTGCAGTTGTTCGGGCGAAGCAGGGGCGCGGCTCTCAGCACGAAGCAGGAAAGGTCGTCGGCGGCGCTTGGCAACAGGGACGGCTGGAGGCGGCCGGATCAGGACGGATCCGGGACGAAGGGATATGTTCCCGGCGATGGCAAGCTGGGAGGCGAGACGGCTCCTGCTCCTGCTTGAATTAGAGAGAGAGGCCGAGAGGTGAGAGGCATCCAGCGGAAGCAGAGAAAGCGAGAGGGGGGAGATGGCAGGGATCAGGACGACCTGGAGACTAGCTGCTCCGATGGAAGGAACTTGAGGCGCAGGGGTGTCGAGCTCGAGCAAATCCGATGGGGATGAGGCACCGGAGAAGGAACACGACGACTGACGGGAGTTGCAGGGGTTGGAATGACGACATTGTCGCTGGGTTCGCCGGCAACGGTCGTGGCACATCTGCGGTCAGGGAGGAGGGAGCCGCTGCTGCTCGCCGGTGGCTCGGTTGGTCTTCGGGAAAGACGAACGGGAGGCACGGGAGCTTGGCTCCATGGAAGTGCTCGAGAGGAGGGGATCCAGACGCGGTTCCTGCCGATCCAAAAGCGAGGGAGGCGAGGCGCTTGGTGATTAGATGGATCTGGCTGGTGGTGAGCGGTGGTTCGCTCGGTGGGGAAAATGAGGAGAAGGCAGGATCGATTGGGTGGATCGGGCAAGACCCCGAGGAAAAGGGAGACCAGGTGGAGCTAGTGGCGGCGGATGGGATGGATGGAATGGATGGGACGGCTCAGACCAAGGTTTGACTATATATATAGGTAGGGATTAGTGTGACGCCCTCGATTCAATCGTACACTAATCATACATGCAAATGTATACGATCAAGATCAAGGACTCACGGGAACATATCACAACACAACTCTATACACAAATTAAAATAATATAAGCTTTATATTACAAGCCAGGGGCCTCGAGGGCTCAAATACATAAGCTTGAGAACACAAGAGTCAGCGGAAGCAACAATATCTGAGTACAGACATGAGTTAGACAAGTTTGCCTTAAAAGGCTAGCTCAAAAGCATCAACGATCGAAAAGGCAAGGCCTCCTGCCTGGGAGCCTCCTAATTACTCCTAGTCGTCTGCGGTCTTCACGTAGTAGTAGGCATCCTCCGGGTAGTAGTAGTCATCAGTGGCGTCGTCTGGCTTCCGGGATCCGTCATCTGGTCACAACAATCGGTATGGGGGAAGAGAAGTAGCAAAGCAACCATGAGTACTCATCCGAAGTACTCGCAAGACTTACATAAGATCGAAACTAAGTATGCATCTGTATCAAAGGAATGGGTTGTATATGTGGACTGGGCTGCAGAAATGCCAGAATAGAGAGAAGACCTAGTCCTATTGAACACTAGCATCTTCTGGAAACCACCATCTTGCAGCAACACGAGGGAGTAGAGTAGCATAAAGTAAAGTAGTAGAAGTGTCATCAACCTCGGCCAGAGATCCTTTCTCGACTCCCTGCGAGAAAGCAATCCCAGAGCCATACTATCCAGTTATCATCTCATATACAAGTCTCATCACAAGTATCCAGTTCTAGTTGTATCGATCAGGATACAACTCCAAGTGTCCGTTACCATAGGACAGGCTATCGATAGATGTTTTCTTCCCTGCAGGGGTGCACCAACTTACCCACCACGCTCGATTAACTCCGGTCGGACACACTTTCCTAGGTCATGCCCGGCCTCGGCCAAACAATACGCCGCAACCCGATCTAGGCTTAATAGAGAGGCCAGCACGCCGGACTAAACCTATGCCCTCAGGGGTCATGGGCCATCTCCACAGGAACTCCTGCACGTTGCGTACGCGGCCGGTGAGCAGACCTAGCTACCTCCTTCAACAAGGTAGGTGCTTTCCAGTCCAACCCGGCGCGCGCCGCTCAGTCGCTGACATCTATTAAGCTTCGGCTGATGTATACGACGCAGAACGCCCATACTATGCCCACGTGATGGTTAGTGCTATCAGGCCAGAGGTCCCTCAGATCGAATATCCAAATCATAGTGGATTAGGAACGCACGGTAACGAGCAGAGACTCACGATCGATGTGACCCCATCGCCTCGTCTTGAGTACTTGCGGCAAGGGGTAAGAATGCCCAGCCACGCCTCGTAAGTATCTCGCGGGCACCTTCCAGGTCAACCCAACTCCACATCACTCGCTATTAAGCTCGCGCGGGTACCCCTCAGGGCCTACCCGTCTTTAGTAACATGGTTCAGTGTAAAGTCATAGTAACCATAGTAACTGTGTGTCTAACACCAAGGGGAAAACCCGAGGAATCACCCCCGGTGAATTCCACTCGATGTTATCATCAAGGTGAACGTAAGAGGATCCACCCTCGAGGTTCACACTTGAGGGGTTGCACGATAGAGCCGTAACGGAAGTGGTTAAGGAGGAAATCATCCTCAATGACCCCGACCGGATAGCTACACTACAGAGATCTCCTCAGGAGTGATGTAAGAGGTTCCACCCTCGGCACTCGATAGTAACTCTGCAGAGTCGTACAACTAGGGGGGGAAGTGATGTGCGGTGTCGGGGCCTGGACGTTGATCACGTTGATCGATTCATCGAATATAAAGCGGGGCAACTAGGACAAGGTGGGGGTCTCTGATGGATCTCTAACCAACCTATACTAAGCAGTTTAAGATAAGCAGGTAAGGTATGAAAGCAGGTAACAAAAACAGGCTATGCATCAGAATAGGATCATACATAAAGCAGTAGCAATTTCTAATGCAAGCATAAGAGGGAAAGAAATGGGCGATATCATAATGCTCAAGGGGGGTTTGCTTGCCTGGAAGCTCTGCTGAAAAAGAAGAAGTGTCGTCGTCGACGTAGTCGAACACAGGGGCACCATCAGTCTCGGAGTCTACCGGAGAGAAGAGGGGGAAGAAACAATAAATACAAAGCAAATAGATGCATGACAAGACAACAAGCGGTACTAGGGGTGTTCTAACGCGGTGCTACACGATACTGGCGAAGGGGGATAACATCCGGGAAAGTTTTCTCGGAGTTAGGCACTTTCGGACAAAGGAATGGGAGGAGGAAGGTTGCGTGTTTGCTACGCTAGGTGCATGTGGCGGACGAACAGACCGCGTATTCGGATTCGTCTCGTCGTTCTAAGCAACTTTCATGCATAAAGTATTTTCATCCGAGTTACGGATTATTTTACATTAATTTTTAAAGTTTAATTGAATTCTTGGGATTATTATATTTAGCTTAAACCGAAATGACTAAGTTAATTTTGACTAGTCAAAGGGCAGGTGTGGCCCACATGTCATAGACTATTTACCCAAACAATTAGACATATCTAACTTATTTAAAAGGGCCTACATGTCATCTACTACTAGACTAACTTAACACTAATTAAACCTAGTAGTACTAATCTAGGCCAGGGACGGCCACTAATGGGCATAGCCCAACCGGCCACACGCATGTTGCACACACACACAGGAGCACACGGCCATGGCCAACTGCACGCACACACACTATGCAGAACACACACTCACGCACACACACACTACACACACACGCTGCACACTTGGCCATGGCCTTGGCCATGGCCAGTCACAAGCAGCAGCATAGCAGCGTTGAGCAGCAGGAGCAGGCAAACCAGCAGCGCAGCGCCTAAGCAGGACTAGCTAGCAGTAGTACGCATCCGCGGTAGCAGAACGCAGTAGAGCAACAAATGCACGGGGGCGAGAGCAGGCAGCAACAGCGTAGCGACAGCAGGAGGCGAGCGGGGGGCTCGGCCACACGCGTGTGGGGGCGCGGCCAGGGTACGGCGGGCGCGAGCGGGGGCACGCGCAGGCGGCCAAGGGCGTGGAGGACGTGGTCAGGGGTGTGTGGTAGCGCAGGAGCGTGGACAACGACGCAGTGAGCACAAGCTCCGACGGCATCAGGCACGGCGGTGACGGCGGCCTACGCCGGTGGTTCGATGGGAGAAAATAGGGGAAACCAGAGGAGGGCTCACTACGGGGAGGTCGTGGATGAGCTCGAGGGTTTGGGGATGGTCGGAACTCGCGGGACGATGGCGAGATGGCGGCGGTCGAGGTTGGTGGAGCCGGTCGATGCCATCTTTGTGGTGCTGCACCCGACGAACAGGGACTCGGAGAAGACGCGGTGGTCGACGGGGGTCCGCCTGGACAACTCCTCCAACGCTGGGGACTACGTAGGCCGCGGCTACGGCGATGACACACACAACCACATCGCGATCCCGCGAGCTCGTTTTTGAGCGGAAGGAAAGGGGGCACGATGGGGAAAGAGAGGGGATCAGACGAGCTCGATCTAGGGTTCCCAGGGGACGTTCTTAAAGGGCTGGGGCGGTACTATGGTGTGCGTGGCGGCCATAAAGCCGTGGTGGCCATGGATGTGTGCCACGCACATGTCCCTGCCTCCTCCTCTGTTGAGAGATAGGAGAAGGCCTTAGGTGGGCTGGACTTTAGACTGTAGCATTGGGCCATAAGTGAACGGTGCTCTTTTCTATCCCCTTTTCTTTTCTGCTTTACATTTTCTTCAGTGTTTTGCATTTAGAATTCATACCAAATAAATTTAATCGACTAAGAAACTTGTTACATAAATATTAGTCATTATTTTGGAGAGGCCCGCAATGTTTCAAGTCAAAAGGGAAAATACATAAATGTTTGTTTATTTGAAAAGGGGTAATTTGTTGTTTTTGAACCACTTTATATTTTACTAGGGGTTAATTGGTGAGTCAAATGATCTTGGTTCAACATGTTAAAAGATTAGGAGAATTTATACTAAAATTCGAACATTTTAGTTTTATACTTTGGAGAAATAAATATTTGACTTGCATATTTAATTTGAAATTGACTTTGTTTTTTGGACATGTGGCAAGTTGCATAGTAATCACGATGACATGGCCACCATTAGGCGGAGATCACTGTAGCAAGATTCTCGGGGTGTTACAAATCTCCTTCACTACAAGAAATTTTCTCCCGAGATTTAAGAGGTGGAGTAAGAGGGAAAGTTGTGGTTACGAAATTCTAACAGATCTTCACGGTCTTGGTTCCTCTTCTCGAAGTGGTCGATCCATTACATTGGTGTCTTCATTTCTCTGCATCAATGCATCATGATGAAGTTGTCGTTCTTCCTTCCGGATCTTCACCATACTCATGAAGGGACAAGGGTTAAATTCGGAAGAACGAACCTAATAAGGTTGATTATCTGGTAGATAGTTTAGTGAATGTGACAGGAAGTAGCTCTCGAATTGAACTTAAGAAAACATCGAGAGCAACATAAGAAGGCACAATAAGAAGTTTCAAGCAGATAGACAATCGTTCGATTCCTAAAACGGAGTGTGAAAGGGGCTTAGAGCAATGGGAATAAGCATTGTGTCTGGTACCAGAATTTGATGACCTCTTGAAAGGTAGCTCGTGACTTACATACGAAGCCACGCGTGAGGAATAACTATGGAAACATGGGGTGTACAAGAGAGTCGGGTTTCGGTCCTATGAAACTGTGGGTTATGAGCCCACCATGTGGGTTAAGGTAAGAGGGGCGGCGATATCTTGCATGGTCATGATAACGAGGCATGTCAGGGAATACCCTGTCAGTTATGTCGGCAACAACATCGGTACCAAGGGCGAGGGACAAAGAGAAGTATTTTCCTACTCGTTGAACGAGGCGGGCCAATAGGCAAAGTTCTTGTTCATCAGTGGCTACTGGAATGTCATCAACAATAGTAACAGGGTCTTACTGACTGAGTTTTACATCGAGGTGTGTACATAAGCAGGGAAATATTAGTGCTTATTCATATAAACCTCAAGAAGGTTAAACAAAACAATGGAAAGGAAAATGTGATTATCAGACTAAACGGAAGAATGGAAAGGAAATGTGTTTAAACACATATTTCAGGGGGTATATCCTTCCCAAGGACAAGCAGAGCATGATATCCATGACAGGATAGAAGTATACAACCATTTAGGTAAGGAGAAAAATTTCATGACATTACCCATACAACGGTGTTTCGATAATTGATAAAGAAAATTTAGTATCGTGCTTCAAATGTTCTCATTGGAGATCGAATTACCACAGACATGCTTCGAGATAGCATGACATGGTTACAAGCAGATGTCAGACGATCCATCGGAAACAACTTAGAAAATAAGTCATACAATTCTAGTAGGGAAAAGATAAGAGTGTGGCCGACGGGAGCAACCACAATCCATCGACATGCCAAAAAGGATGTATTTCCAAAATTATATGAACAAGTTTGTGTTGGGGAAGGCAAGAATGTTGTCGATGATAACATAAATCATCGAGGGGAAGGATTGTATTTCTCCTCATGAATTGGATTAATATCCTAGAAAAGCTCAGAATGTTGATGATGATCACGACACATTTGTCGAGAGATTTCATGAAGATGTAATCAATCGGCGATGACATCCAGTCAAAAGAATGATGAAGCGAAAGGTTATTGGAACCATGGGTACGACACAAGCTCGATATTAAGCTTGTTGTTCAAGGCGAAATGATAGGATGAGGAAGATCGACGTAAGCTTAGCTCATCATCGGAAGTTGCTCCGGGCATAAGGACTTGGTAGCACAGTTAAAAAGTTGACATGATAAAAATATAGCCGATCAGGCTAGGAATGATGCGATGGGGTATAAAGCTTCCCAGTATCAAGTACTAGGTGTAATGCCAGAAGGTAAATCGGAGTAGAGGTTGGACGGGGAAATGATTTGCAGAGGATAAGTAATTGTAACTTACCCAGTAAATGGGATCAAGGAGGAAATATGGTCGGGACCATAACTACAAGGGATCCAATTCACGACACCGAAAGAATTATTCAGATGATTAAATATCCTTGCAAGAAGCTTTTAGGATAAGTCCCACACCGTGTCCATGGGCATGAACACAAGGTTCAGGGTCGACTCCCACTTCTACAATGCATAACCTTTCATTGTATTTCTTGCTCTTGGTGAAGCTGTAGTATTGAAATTTTATCTGACGAAAGCCAGTAGGGTATAATCCGCATAACTTTCGAGTTCACACAGATTAGGGAAGGCATAGGTTCAACCCATCGGGGCATCTTAGGAACATATATCATAAATTTCAAGAATAATAACACAAGCTTGGTAGTAGAGCATGCTTGTGAAAGCGGAGGATACAATTTACCAAAAGCATTACGTATCCGAGGAAAGGCTCACAAGCTTATTGAATATGAAGGACGTTGTCGGATAAAATCCAAAAAAGGGGGTCTGGTGGTCCACAAGGGATCCGATGTGAGCATCAATATTCAACCAGAGGAAGAAAGAATGCAAGGAGATCAGATTATAGAAACAACTGACTAACTCAAAGCTCAATTGCAAAGGAATTATGAATTCCAAGACAAGGGATCAGAATCAATGCTCTAAGTAGGGATGGATAGGTAGAATAGCCTTAGGGGTACAATCGATGGCGATTTGATTGATCGAGATTCAGCACATGTTAAAATGACGTCTGAGCCGGAATGATGAATTCTAGGATCTGATTGAGGATTGCGAGCATTCGCAACATATTGTATCAATGGACTCAAAATGATAATGACAAAGGCTGACAATAAGATTACTAGACTTATGGTACTAACCATAATGCAAGCAAGCAAGAAATTCAAGAACGATAGGCTGTTGAGGATTTTCACAAGAATGAATGGTATTACGAAGACTTTTGTGAAGTACATGAATCAAGTGAGGATGAGCGGATACTCGATAGGTGCACAAAGTTATCCGTAGGGGTATTCAGATGACAAGGAACTGCAAGGCAGTAAGCTCAAAGGATTCTCAGAAAAAGGAGAGCAGTTCAGGGCATCTTGTAACAACAAGATCAATGGGATAGAATGTAAGATTGTCAAGTGTGTGTATTTATCCATAAGGATATTTCGCTGGTAGGGAATTGCAAAGGCAACAGGCACAAAGTCTCGAGAGAATATCGTAGAGTATCTTCGAAATCTTCTGATGCAGCAGGCGATCATCTGAAATAAGGGGGCTCTCCGGGTGGATGTGATTACGAGATCCTAATGTTCGAGTTAGTAAAACCTTTAAACCCGAATAGAAGAGAGATCAGAGTCCCAGAGTATAGACGAGGAATAAAAGATCCTAATACCACCCAATTGCAACATGGGCCCGTAAGCCACACAACCATGTTAGTAAAAGTTTTGTAAAGACTAAACTCAACTTCGGCCAAGGAGATGGAAAGGGGGGTTCCTACAGGCAGTCGGCTCTGATACCAACTTGTGACGCCCTCGATTCAATCATACACTAATCATACATGCAAATGTATACGATCAAGATCAAGGACTCACGGGAAGATATCACAACACAACTCTAGACACAAATTAAAATAATATAAGCTTTATATTACAAGCCAGGGGCCTCGAGGACTCGAATACATAAGCTTTAGAACACAAGAGTCAGCAGAAGCAACAATATCTGAGTACAGACATGAGTTAGACAAGTTTGCCTTAAAAGGCTAGCTCAAAAGCATCAACAATCAAAAAGGCAAGGCCTCCTGCCTTGGAGCCTCCTAATTACTTCTAGTCGTCTGCGGTCTTCACGTAGTAGTAGGCATCCTCCGGGTAGTAGTAGTCATCAGTGGCGTCGTCTGGCTTCTGGGATCTGTCATCTAGTCACAACAATCGGTATGGGGGAAGAGAAGTAGCAAAGCAACCGTGAGTACTCATCCAAAGTACTCGCAAGACTTACATCAGATCTAAACTAAGTATGCATCTGTATCAAAGGAATGGGTTGTATATGTGGACTGGGCTGTAGAAATGCCAGGATAGAGAGAAGGCCTAGTCCTATCGAAGACTAGCATCTTCTGGAAACCACCATCTTGCAGCAACAGGAGGGAGTAGAGTAGCATAAAGTAAAGTAGTAGAAGTGTTATCAACCTCGGCCAGAGATCCTTTCTCGACTCCCTGCGAGAAAGCAATCCCAGAGCCATACTATCCAGTTATCATCTCATATACAAGTCTCATCACAATCCATTTCTCATCACAAGTATCCAGTTCTAGTTGTATCAATCGGGATACGACTCCAAGTGTCCGTTACCGTAGGACAGGCTATCGATAGATGTTTTCTTCCCTGCAGGGGTGCACCAACTTACCCACCACGCTCGATTAACTCCGACCGGACACATTTTCCTGGGTCATACCCGGCCTCGGCCAAACAATACGCCGCAAACCGACCTAGGCTCAATAGAGAGGCCAGCATGCCGGACTAAACCTATGC